CCTGGCGCCACAATAGTACTTTCCCGTGGCAGGCACCTTCTGAATGAGGAACTGGTTGCGAGAACCAGTCAACATGGGCCAGGCATCGGTGCAGTTGCCGCCTGCAAGTTTAGTCAAGTAAGTACAGTTAGTTGCCGGGATAGACAGTAAATAAATAAATGAGTGAGTACATGGAGCAAAAGCAAAACGTGTGAAAATGGATCCCTTGAGTTTCGATCACGCACCGTCCAGCTTCTCGTAGCCACCACAGTGTACCTGAATCGAATCAAGAATCGAATTGAATCAAAGCGAATCGGAATAGCATGAGTGAGCACCACACACAAACAAACAAAAATACAATACACAAGCCACATGTTGTGAGAGCACCGATGGACTCGACTCGACTCCACCAGTCTCTATCTATACGATCTCACCGCAATGGCCTTTTCTAGGTAGGGCACCCAGAATTTGGCATCCTTGGAAGGCTTGGCTCCTAGCAAGTATCCCGTTCCATCCGCTCTGACAGGCAATCGTTCGTCAATGACAATATCGACTTCCTTCCATGTTTTCAAATCCCACAATGTCACTGTGTATAGATTGGGTTCATCGACTGGTTTTTGACTAATGGGTTGTGTTGGAGTTTTGCGAAAGAGTCGTTGTACGGCCCAATCAAAATCGGCGAGACAGGCAATGGCCGAGAGCAACCAACAGTCTCCCACAATGGCTCCTTGACGGACATGATCGGGATAGGCACCTTGTGGACCAATCATTTCCATGTTGGCTTCATCACCTAGACCCATGCCACGACCGGGCAAGAGTGGCGTTCGTTTGGCCTTTGTAGAATGCAATTTCTTGCCACCGTAGGTCATGTTGTCTGTATACTTGTCACAGGATCGTACGGGAAAGAGATTGTCGGTAAACGCTGGAAGACGATGATAAATGTGTCGCCATAGAATGCGTTTTCCAGTACCATCTTCCTTGATTCCCATGGGTTCATACCCCACAGTTCCATCCCGTAGAATAAAGGTGTAATCTTTGGGATCGGGTTGGACTGGATGAAAATGCATGGCGAGGTATTTTTCTGGATTGTGTTTGAATTCCTGAATGGCTTCTTGTTGTGTGGTGTACGTGCTATTGGTGGTTTCCTTTTTGTCTTCAAAAGTGGACATGCCATCCCATGTGGTTTGGACGATTTCCCACTTGTCTCCTAGATTGGTTTTCCACGTGGCCAATTTGGCAGCCGCTTGTTTTTTCTTGTATTCTTCCGCCTCAGGTCCTCCCATGGCGAGCAGGGCACTGAGTTTGGGAACTCGTTCGGGAGGAGGTTCTTGTCCAGCGGCTTTGGCTTTCTTGGCGGCTTCTGCCTTTCGCTTGGCTTGTTGTTCCTGCCATTTGTTCTTGCGTGCTTGGGCTGCCTTGTCATGCGCTTGTTGGGTCTGAGCTTTGACACGTGCTTCCTTTTCGGCACGAATCTTGCGATCAGCGGCGTCTTGTTTGGCAAGAGCTGCTTTGGCGCTACTGTCATCTTCTTCAGCGGCAGCAACCTTTGCTTCTTTGGCGCGACTGGGAGACATGGATCGAGCTGCTCTTGGTTTTGCTTTTCGCGGTGCTGGCGCCTTGTTGGATTTGTTGGGCGGCGGCAATTCCATGATCTTCAAATTCTTTCTCCGTTCTTCTTCTCGCCGTTTCTTTTCTTCTGCTTTCCGTTTCGCTTCCGCCTCTTTCTCCGTCAAGCGAGCCTCCCGTTTCTTCTTATACGCCTCCAATCGATCCGCCATCGATTGTTCCGCTTCTCTCACCGCCATGGGAGACAAACTGCGAGGACGACTATTACTACCGGTACTCGAAGGCATCTTGATACTGATTGTGGCGTGATTACAGTAGGTACAGTTCACACACTCTAGCTTGATTCGGAGGGTTATGATCATGCAAGCAAGCAAAATACAAGAGTGTGGGATGTTTGTTCTCTTCAGTCCGAAAGATTTTTAGTTTGTTTGGAAAGAAGAAATGAGCAAAGGGATCTTTGAACCAAAAAGATCCATGCGTGATGTCACCACAGTCACAATGACCCACCGTACTCATAAATCTCTGAGTAGCAAGCCAGTGTAGTTTATTTTGACAGCCAAGACGGCCAACATATCAGTGAGTTGGATGTTGGAAGTGGACCGTACCGGTACATGTACCGCAGATCACTTTCAGAAGACTGCCACTCACTCTGCTTTGATTTTTGTTTCATTCAGCATTTTCACGTACACTAGCTAGCTAGCTAGCTAGCTACATGTAGCAAGCCAATAGATAGATAGATAGATAGATAGTCTAGCAATGATTGCGCGAACGACAAGCAAGTCAAGGCAAAGGCACACCCGTGGAAACATCCTCTCCCAACACAAATACAGTAATGACTGGCAAGCTCCGTCACCAAGTGGTCCTGAAAGACGGCGCTCAGAATGTGCCTGGGTGGGTGCAACGAAACAAACATGCGTTCACATTGGGGTTCTTGCCAATCTCCTGGGTTGAACGAAGCAAACTACGTGCACAACAAGGTACTGTATTGGTTTGCAAAACTGCCTGGTGTGGCAGATTGCATGACTCCCGCGATGCGTGGATGAGAGCTACCTGGTACACGTCTTGCACGTTTAACAGCTTTGCAGTGTTCCTATGCATTCGTCGTATCGGTACGTTGCACTGTCGACGACCATTTTTTGGTCCTGTGGATCTTTTGGTCTGATGGGTAAGAGCTTGTGGTGCTCACTGCTGTAGTCAGAGTTGATGAATGAGTGACAGTCAGAGTCCAGCTGTTGAGTTCAGTCAGCACAACCAACAAGCAAACAATAGCAACAAGATGAAGACCTGATGCTCCCACAATCGTCTCGACCATGATTTGCCATGAGGAGGCAACAGCTGAAACGATAGGAATTGGAGGCATGGGCATTTATTTATGTTTAGGCATTTTGATCTGCTTGATTAGCTGTAAAAGCCAATGATGAGGATGTCTACACCTACAATGATTGATTCCACCCAATCAACAGAAATCAGTATGAATGATAGAAGCCCCGCGCCCTGGTCAGTCCAGAAGTCCAAAGCATTGCAATGGTACGATTGTTGTTCTTGCTCTGTTCTTGTGCTTATCGTTATCATTGTTGACAGAGGGCTCACTCCACCATCAAACTGGACCACCAGCAAAGTAACTCTGCAGTTGGAATTCATGAAAACGTGCAGTTTGAGTACCGTTACGATACCGCTATACGGGTCACTCCTGGGTCAACGAGCCTACAAGGAATGTAAAATCGAAGAATCGAATCGAATCGAATGATCAATCCATTCAAGAACAGCTGGGTACGGTACTAGCTAGTGCCTCCCTCCTCTTTCTTTTAAAAGCTCAAGCCATGCAGTAGTCTACATCGGGGGCGTCAACACTGGGACAAGAATCGGCACAATTCGATTGCCTTTGCAAGCCAGCTACTGTAGCCAGAGATGCACCTGTAAAGCGGCAGACTGGGAGAAGAGGTTGGATATCCGGGTACTTCCGTAGATAATCCACCTATTCTAAACCCGCGTTGATACATACTGGAAACTCCTTGCGCTCGGGACGGGATGATATTCTTGGAGCAAGACATGTGGCTACAGAGTCCCATTTTCTGTGTCAGAGCGTCAGAGCTCGTTGTTGTTGCTTCCAAGGATCCAAATCTCGTACGGTAGTATTTTACCAACAGCCATTTTAGATCCAACATCTCGTGGGAAATTTTTCTCATAGTGTCATCGATTCATTCATCTTCTGATTTCTGATGCCAACAGCACCAACATCTTGCACAAAGGGACTTTTTTAAAAGCATGATTTGCCGATACTGGCTTACTTCTAGCTAGCCTAGCTACCGGTAGTTGGCAAGAAGACAGAGTACATGTAATACGGTAGACCCCAACATGAGTCGATACGATTGACATTCTCACTTCATTGTCATCATGGGTCGGTGTGCTTCGGATGTAGACTAATGTGATCCCGTGATGGGAAAAAGGGGCGTGCGTGGATTGAAGATTCACAGTGCTGAGTCGAGTCAGTCGGGCCCATTCGAGGAGTCAAGCAAAAAATGAGCACAAGCCTGCAAAACAAAGCAACCGACAGGCTTTTCTAGCTTTTATTAGTCAAACAAGGTACCAATGTTAACTTTAGAAGCAAGAAGAGAGCACGGCAAATAGCCAGTAACTGCAACATGTTTTTGGAGATTATAGTGCTCATGAGAGCTCACAATTTGCTCCAAATCGAAGCATTTCGATTGAATGATCAATCGAAGCTTCATTTCTTCACGGGGCTCTGCCTACCGTAGCAGCTAGCTACGACTGTAGTACGCTAGTACAGTACTGGTACGAGCAAAGTATGGTCATACCAACCATGGAGAAGGTTAAGTTTGGCCTTAGCGTTTCACCTAGAACGTTTTTCCTTGCCAGTGAGAGTATTCTTGATAACATTTATTTTAGCTTCTGACAGCTCCAGCGTCCAGGCTGCCAGCTGTGTGGACGACGTTGCTGTGTTTGCTCCCACTTTGGAAATGATGACATTGATGTTGAGTGAAATTCAGAGCCAAATGGGTACCAAACCTTTTGGTGAAGACGTCAAGGCTGTCCGATCGGATTGGCTATCCACCAAACCCAGCAAGATAATGCTGATTTTGGCACCTCACCATGCAAAAAAGAAGCCGAAGAAACCGAGGAAGCCAAAACATTCACAGCGAAGGTCACGGAAGATTGTTCGACGCATTCCCAAAACTCGTGTGAAACGGATCAACACAACTCACTTCCGTTCCCTGACAGCAGCAGTTACAGCAGCGTCCACCACTGTCATCACTCAGCAGCCACCACCTCGTAGGGAGATGGGTGGAAAACCCAAGGTCAAGATGAAACCCCCTCCAATTCGAAACCGAATGTAAGTTGCCAGTGGTCTTTTTATCTTGTGTTGTTCATGTGGAGTCTAGCTTAAAGCTTTGTCTCACGATCTTATTGGGGGCTGAAGCCCAAAGGTGTTCCCTGCTCAGCCTGTCGTAACCAATCAGGATACTGTTTCAGCCATTACGGCCAGGCCCCACCTGGATATGATCCCAAGAAGCAGAAGGAAGCCATGGCCGCGATTAAGGAGAAAGTAAAGGCCAAGAAGAAGATAGCCAAGGCGCCTCCACCTGAACCGGATGTCATGCCTCCAGTGGTAGCGGATTTGACGAAGAATCGGACGAAGCTGCCACGGAGGAATCGGAAGAAGAAGATGACATGGAACCTGAGGAATCAGCAGAAGATGAACCGGACGCCCCTGCCCCAGCCCCTGCCCATAGGAGCTGGTCACGCCGGATTTCGAAAAGGAACCATTTAAACTAAGCTGCATTGATATTGAAAACTTGCTGCTTGATCGTCGACGCCATTGCATCCTCCTAGAGTAGTAGACTTGAGATCGTGTGATGTCCTCTCTGGTCTTGGTAGAAAACTAATTGTAGATGCATTGATATTGAAAACTTGCTGCTGGGCCGATCGTCCACGCCATTGCATCCTCCTAGATACTGTAGCTAGGCTGCTCCATTTCTCCTTCAGTCCGAGGCCATAGCAGTCTTTGGAGGAGAAGAACTGTGAGCATTGTCGTGCGGAATGCCATGGGTGGGTCTAGCTAGTAGGGAGGGCCTCAGTGGGAAAGATAGATCGGTGGCGCAAATGGAAAGGCTATCAGAATCGAAAGGGAATGATCTTTGGTGGCTGACAGCTAAGCAAGGGCATGCTATAGTTGGTAATGTACACTATATGTGCAAGCAACAGCTTCAGCCTCCAGCAATCCCTCCGTCCCGAATGTCGCTCCTTATACATGGCTTCTTCTGTAAATACATAGCATAAAGCTAGAAAAACTGTTGGCACAAAGCTAGTACGCCTCTTCTGTAAATACATAGCACAAGCTACCGTAGAAAAACTGATGGCCCTATGCTAGTACTGAGTTCTATCGTCCATAGCTGCTTCCTATCTATGCATATATGATCCTTGTGCATGTAAGTTGTGGCCTCACCCAAACCTCCAAAGTGAATCGAATTGAATCCAATTAGGCAGTCTCATCCAGACCTGCCCAGTGAAGCAACAAGTAGCTGAAGGAAAGGTCACCAAGAACACTGCGAATGCCGAAGGCATATTGGCAAAACTAGTTGGCAACTAAGGAGTTCCCAGGTTTTGGAACTATACTACGAGTGTAGCTAGTACCTGGTAGTTGTACATAGATAGCAAGTCTCAACAGGAAAGCGAAAAAGAATCATAAGTGACCAACACCGCATGACTCAAAAGACTCGCTATACTGCTACTGTAGGCCGACAATACCAGAGTTGGGGCTGGAGAGTCAGAAGGAAAGAACTCTCTACACCAACAAGAACAAGTCTCATCGCCATGTTATTCGAAGAGTTATATCCTCATGATGTATCCGCATGCAGACAAGTGGAATTTCACTTGATTTCGAGGATTTTAGGAGATCAGCTCTATGCCTTTCAGCAGTGCCGTCGGCATAAAGGAAACAGCCCCGTGCATGGAAGGAATTGAATTGAATCCAATCGTCGAAAGAACGAGATGTACGGACGAAGGAGACCTCAGGATACCGGTACCGGTACGGTACGTTTATGTCGAACCTCGCTCCGTACGGAGCACGAATGCTTGAAGGCACGTACGGGCATCGTGAGAAGCTTCCATCTCAAAGGCAAGCTGTCATTGGCAGCACAGTACCGGGCCACGGGAGTGAGTGGCATCAAGGTTACTGCATCGAGGACGTCCAAAGCAACCAACTTGACGTACGGACGAGCGTCGATTCGAGGCACGGGTTGACGCCTACCGGTATATCTGTGGCAACAATTGCTTCAGATATGGTACCAATCTGCACCCAGGCCCTCGAGACATGTGGAGAGTTTCAATCGAATCGAATGGAATCCAATACTCTCATGAGTTCTGGTTCCCGTGCCAGTACCGTACCACACGAGGTTGGTCTTGTGACATGCTACAGTACGATTGTACTGGAATGGGCTTGATGGCATGGCGATGTGCTATGCGCAGTGTGCGCTCGTGCTGCACCGGTGCAGTGCCATGGCAAACAGTTATAGTTACATGTACATGTAGTTTGAACGGCAGATGACGGAACTGATAAAAAAGTTGCCATCAGACGAGTCAGAGTCGCTGTCTAGAGACTCAGCACGGGACTTGTTTTTGCTCTTCTTGCGACGACTACCACCACCATCGATGGAGATATTGAAGGTATTGTTTTCGCCGCTGATACCACTGATGATGATTGGCTGAGGAGCTGGTGCAGGGGCCAGCACGGCAGGTGCAGGGGCCATAAAGTTGGAAAGTCGGAGATAGCCACTCTGTTGGTACTGTGGTGGCTGTGGAGTCCATCCTGCGGGCGGTTTCTGCTGCCCATGAAGCAATGGCATGCCGTACTGGTACTGGCCCCAACCATGAGCGAGAGTGTTTCCTGGCTGGAAGAAGAAGAAGAAGAGCATTGGTTACAACGAGGTGGTTCAATCGAGGTGCACCAACACGATTGATCTTGCATTCGAATGATCTTGCGATGGTTTACTTACTGGTACTTGCACAGGAGCGAGGACGTTGTCATGCTGAACTGGAGGAGCGTCAACAGCCGGAGGAGGTCCATTTCCGACTTGCATCGGCTCCAAAACGAGCAACGCGCTCCAATCCATCACCACGAGCGACACCAGAGACGCGACCATCCAATCGATTCGCTTCGGGGGCAGGAGCTGGAGCTGGAGCTGGAGCAGACATCGTGTGGTTGTTGATAGAAGCAAACTCTCAAGGAAGCGACGGTACTAGTAGATGGATACACAAGTGTAAGAAGAAGAGCAATGGCAGATTGTGCTCGATCGCTTTTATGTCGGTGCTCCGACGACGGAATACGAGCGAGTTCTGGTTTTGTCAAATTCAAATCGACATTAACCCTGTAGAGCTGCTTTTACTTTCCGTAGAAAGAAAACTTTTTTTCATGAGGCCCACAATGCACACCCGGGCTCACCGCTGGTACTAGTACTTTTAGAGAGCCATCTATCTCTTCTCTAATAGTACTACTAGAACCAGCTCTGACTCAAGATCTTGAAGCCTGATTTCCAATACCACATCATACCTCTATCCACCATCCATGTACTGGCGTACCATTGAGTTGGCGACTGTTGAGTTCCCCCAAGTGATGAGTGATGAAGGCACCTCAGGAGAGACGTGGAACATACATGTACGGAGCACGGAGTCAACAGTCAATGCACGCGCTTGAAGAACAACGATACCGCCAAAATCGTATGCTCGGTACGTGGTGTCGACGGAAGATACAGCTCGTCGTGAGGAAGAGACTCGATACGAGCATCATCGGCAAATGTACAGATGAGCCAGTGCATATTCGTTTTTAAGCAGGAGTGGATGCAAGAGTATCGGTATTGAGTATGGTTACAGGAAGATGGAGTGACGGGCTTGCTAGCCTTCGGAGTCTGCCACCAAGGATTTCCTTACCGGTTCCCAGGGCGCAGACCGTCACGTGTAAGGTTGCTTTTTACAACCGCTACACAAGCAAGCTCTCAAGAAAGCTAGCCAGTGGCTAGTGCTCCTGGGGCTCGGGAGGTACCAATGGAACCCTCGCCCTATCATCACACTTTGCCCCATCGTCACGAATACTTGTGATGGTGTGAATGATTGAATGAATCAGCCAATGCTCCCTCATCGAACCGAACCACACAGGTTTGTACGATGTATCGTAGTAGTGCGGTGACCCTTCCTACGGTACGGGGCAAACAGGAGCGTTTGCGACACACACACCGCCTGACTGTATTGCTACGCTACTTGAAGGATTGAGCCAATCTATTAGCTGTGACATGTCCAAGTCCGTGCTCATGTCCAAGCACTATGCCCGCTGAGAATATAGTACAAAGTATACCAGTTCCAGGCAAACCGCTGCATGATTTCTTGGATTGACGGTTTCGAGTTGGGTCATGTCGAAAATGGTGTTGCAGCTGTGGACGTGGCTTTTGTTCATTCATTCCCACTAACCTCGTTGACAACACACATGATCCGTTAAGAGAGGATCAACGAGGGATGGCCACCGACTGATAAACATGTTTGCCACTCCTCCTCTTCCTGTTCATTATTTGGATACCTTTACCCTATCTTTACTCTATCAAGATGATGCTATCTCCTCTTCTTTGTTTACAGCGGCTACTCGTAACTCCTCTTGAAGACGTCTCCACCATGACCATGAACATGACAGGCTCCTCTTCCATTTGACGTATCGCCTCGACGGATCGATTCGGTCGGTTGAAGACTTCTTCCTCGTTCCACGGCGCCTCTTTCATGGAGCGAACATGACGTTTCCACGGAGCGACGCTTGCAACAAAAGCGGCTGCTACTCTATGCAGTAGATCGACGATCTATCCGAGGCGACTTGGGACGATCCTTTGGCCATGGTTGACGATTTTTCGTTCGGAAAGATCTGAGAAAAGCTGCATCGCGCCGGGCCGCTAATGCTAACAGAGGTTGCCGACCGCTGAGGCCTACGGCCTACGACCTACGATAGTGGTATCGGCTGCTTTCATGGTCACTTCAGTGGCGAGGGACAATATTTACTCGTGGAGGGGAAATATTTGCTCGTGGAGGGGAAATATTTGCTCGTGGAGGGGAAATATTTGCTCGTGGAGGGGAAATATTTGCTCGTGGAGGGGCAATATTTGCTCGTGCGAAAATATTGAAATCTCAAAATTATACATTTTGAACATCAAAAACTTATAAACGTACGCATTATTTCCATCCTGTTGGCTGTTGCATGTCATGAAGTTGTTTCAAAGGCCTTTACTACCGGTAGGGTGCCTCAAACCAACCGGCTTTGGCCATCTCTTTCTTGTCCCACCTTCCTGAAGCCTTGGCCATCACGTTAAAAGGAGTTCGGCCAACTTCAACCATCCCTGACCATTTTCAACAGTCTTCGACCGCCTTCGACCGCCTCTTTTACCACCTTTTCACGGCCATTATACCGCTTTATTACCGCTTGTTCACCACCTGAATTGTATTTGCCATCATTACCACGCTCTGCCGCCTTCGATCACTCTCCACCACTTTTCCTGCGAGTTTTAGGGATCACATGAAAACGCCACTTCAGGTGGTTGGGGATATATTCAATCAGAGAAGATTGATTTGAGGAACCCCCCGGTAGCTACGATACCTGAAAGTTGTAGCTAGCTAGTAGACTGCAGACTACCTAGCTAGCTAGTCTACTATTCTAATTCGAGCTGCCATATTATTTGGAGTTCATGGTTGCTTTGCGCACCATATTATTAGCACACCATTATTTTTAAATTGCCGCACAGCGCGACTTGGTGCAAATCGCGAACGATTTTATTAGGTGCGGCTTTGTGCGGCAGCTGCAGGCAGCAGGGTGCCGAAACGGGTTTCGGAGGAGAACTGCTAGTTTCACGCAGAATAACGACTAGTTTCAAGAAAGCTTTTGTGAAACAAGCCGTTACTTTCACGCATGTGAAACTAGTGTGAAACTATGTTTCATATGTGCGTGAAACTATCAATCTACACTGTACACGATTTGCCCTCAGCTGGTACCAGCTATTTTAAAATAGCAAGCTGAGGGCCTTTTGAACTTTATCTTGTGTTTGTGTGTGTCGCGTACATATGGTGTGGTTTCCCTTGCAAGGTTAAGGCTTGTGATCAAACCAGAACATATAGTGCTGTTTCCCTTGCAAGGTTAAGGCTAGCGATCAAACGAGATACATATGGTGCGGTTTCCCTTGCAAGGTTAAGGTTAGCGATCAAACCAGAACCCTTCCTTGGCCATTAGAAAAATGCAAGTTGAGGGCACACGCCTCCCGCTGGCTGTCCTTCCGGTTAAAAAAAAAGGCTGATCTGTTTCGCATCGCGACGGATCACCGCTGAACGGCATCAAGCACCAATATGGACCGGCTAGCTGTGCTCTCAACGCGGATGTGCTTGGCTTGGCTTCAATCGATCGTCCCGTCAAGTTGCACTAGTTCGAGCTCCTTAAACTCTTGCGAGGTCATGGTCTTTCTACTTCTCCGGGTACCCTAACGCTAAACTTCTAAACCGGATTTCTAGAATTCTTGACCGTCCAACAATGAAGTCCTTTGCCCAAACCCTCCATGTAACGGATGACTGGCAAGCCTGAGAAGAACGAAACTCCCAGTACAAAGAAGGGTGGCAAACATTGGAACGACAGCAGTGATACGACTTGGCGGAACACGAGCAGCAGCAGCAGCACAAGGAAGAAAGCATCGAACAAGCGCCATCCTTCTGAGAAGAAGAAGAAAAAGGCTGTTGATCCAGACGACCTGAATCCTCTAGAGCAACAAGTGATCCAAAGAAAGCGGAGGAGTTGTTTCACCATTTGAGGCAGCGAAAGGTACAGGATGACTTCTTTTGCCGCTGACAGGTGTAAAATGTGAGCGTTTTTGACGGTTATGTTTCGGTTTTCGGAAATGGGAACCCGGAAGTGGTCATTTTGCGATTCAGTGGTGAATAACTGTTGGTTCGCAGAATAACAAAGAACAAAGAAAAGATCAATTTTACCACCATGGCAACAGTGTTGGCCAAATGGTCTCTAGCTCTACCATTACATTGTTCTAGCTGAGTCTGTCAGAGGACTAGCTCCCCAACACACTCACAGAGCCACACCTTGAAGGGACTCAGCTATCTCCAAGGTTTCCTATGGAGCATCTAGGAAAAGTCAGGCTTGGATTCCATTTTGTTGTCATTCTGCCATGCATTTCTCCATGGGAAAGGTGCTCCAGTCCTCCCTGTCAGCACTCAACTTGCACTGTAGAGCCATGCAAATAAATGGGTGGCTTTGGATGAAGACAAAATTGAGCAGATTTCATGTTTGTAATCAGTCAACAGCAGTAGTAGCGAAGCTGACGCTTGTTTCATTATTAGTAGCAGTGTCATAGGCTCACGGACTCTCCGTGGAAGAGGAAGCAATCCTCATGGTCGCGGCGTGAAAGAGGCTCCGTGAAAGAGGTAAAGAGGCTCCGTCGAACCGAAGAAACTTGTCGCCCGTGCCATTGACGAGGCGTCGCTTGTCGCTCTAGTAGTAGTCGCTTGTTGTGGTAGAGGCGTCGTCGCTCCGTTCGAAGAGGAGGTGTCATGGTCGCTCCGTGGAAGAAGAAAGAAGTCATCCACCGAATTGATCCATCGGCCGATCGCTCGAACAACTGTCGCTCCTGCTGCCACTGCCGCTAACCAACATTGAGGAGCCTGTCATGGTGGAGACGTCTACAAGAGGAGTAGCCGCTGTAAAGAAGAGGAGGAAGCATCATCTTGATAGAGTAATGATAGAGGTATCGATCGAAGTGGCTTGGATCGATAGATCGGAGTGATGTCAGTTGAGTTTAGGGTTGAGGCTAATACCAGTCCTCTAAGTCTTTTCGAGGAACGTTCCAAGAGGTTCCGGTTCGCATTCCAATGTCTTACCGGGAGCGGGCTTGCGTTTGTCTCGATAGTTTGGATTCGTACACGCTAACTGCCCCCCAGGACCGTGCGACGGTTTTCACACAGGATTTTAAAAAAAGCCACGACTGATGACCGTTTAAAACAATCCTTTAAATCATCAACTATCCTTTAAACAATCCCTTAAAGAAACAATACTTTAAAACAATCCCTTAAATCTTGGACTATCCATTAAACAATACCCTAACGCCAAATGGAAACACCATACGACTATCCCCTATTTCTTCAACTATCCCCTAAACAATCCCTTAAAAAACAATCCCTTAACAACAAGCCCTTAAAGCTTTGACTATCCCTTAAACAATCCCTTAAGAAACAATCCCTTAATTGTTGTGATTAAGTTTTTTGTCAGTCGTGGAGCCTTTTTAAATCCTGAGTGAAAACCGTCGGACGGTCCAGTAGGCGCCGCATGCCGTCGTGTCACCTGTCAATGGCTCTCTAGCTATTAATAGTCTCGATCCTACTGTTGACTGCCGAAGCAACTTATAGTATCTCCTCCGCAGAAACTTCGTTTAGTATCTCCTCCGCAGTGCCATGGTCTTCCTTCGTCCTTCCAGTTGTCATCCTTCGTTCTTCCAAGCAGTGCTACATTGCAAGACAACTCGTTGCAAGACGAGTCGTCACTCGTTCGTTCCTTCGTTCATCGGCAAACTCCTACTTCGTAGACACTTTTTTGTCGTGGAGCGGCCAGATGCCAGCTAGTTTGAGAGATGTTTGCTATAGTTTTGCGAGGGCCCATGGGTGTGCCGGTACACGAGAGTTCGAGAGAGAGAGAGATTGAGGGCCGCAATTGGGGTGATCTTTATTGTAACATGTGGCTTACTATGGGGATATTGAAGGGACTAGGAAGCAATAAGACGAGAGAGAGGTGTCCTCCGCTTCACAGGATCGCTTCTTTGTTCCTCGACAATGGCATTCTTGTTGCTAGTATGGAGGAGGATGCTTGGATTGCTCTTTTGGCTCAATCGATGGCTGCTTGCACAGAGCTTGCATCTCTTGCCTCTTTTACGGAGCGATACTTCCTTCGGTCGACGGATCCATGGCTCCTTCTCTGCAGGGTTCCGAAATGGGACTTAAATCAAGGAGCCTGAAAACTAGTGGTAGTACACCAGTTCCGGACCCTGCAATCGTCGCATCCTATTGCCGGATCGTCCAGCACTGCGGAGCATTCACTAGCCATTACATGTATCTCGTTGGCTTCGCTCCGTGTCGTCGATGGAAACATCGTCGTTCCGTGGTTGTCTGCGTCTGCGTCTGCGTCTGCAAGTCAGTCATCTCTGAATTGAGACATGGTGGCGAGAGGGAAAGGTACATGGTCTGATCCTCCATGCCAAGAGCTGTCGCTGCCTAGCTAGCTGCACGTAAAGAAAGAGGATGGGCGGGTTTGAACATGGACTTTTTCTCTATCCGAGCCATCACCCTCTTTCTTTCAAACTGGCTTTGAAGCAGGCGGCCTATTAGACTCGCTACTAGTATCTACATGTAAAGGGTACTCATACTCCGGAGTGGAACCTACTATTCGTCCTTTTAAAAATAAGATACGAGATTAAAGTGGGTTTCTGATGGGACCGTGCTTTATCAGGTGTTGAAAAACACTTTTAACCCACTTTACACTGTACGGTATGGTTTGTCCCAAAATAGTAGCAGCAGCAACCTGACTTAGCAGCAGCAACAACAACTTGACAAACAACAACAACAACAACAACAACAACAACATCAACAACTCCTGCGCTATTTTGCCTTGAAGTCAGTGCCTACTTCAGTAGGGGCAAGGCTCTTGGCATTATGTAAGCAACGGACAACACTACTACTACTACTACTACTACAACTGCTACTACTACTACTCCTTCCTCTACGGACGCTCCTTCCTCTACTGACACACCAACCAAAACGACAGCTGTGTTTGATGCCGCCGTCGAGCTACGCCGGGGGCTATTTCATTTTAAAACGACCATGCAAAACCCTCTTTAATTCTGTATGCATAAATAAATCAGAGTTCGAAACGAGTTTGAAATGCCATCTGGATCGCCAGTTAGTCCCGTTTCGGGTTCTGGTCCCACCATTCCAAAATTGGTCCCCACATTCCAAAATTGGTCCCCATATTCCAAAATTGGTCCCCACATTCCAAAATTTTGTCCCCAGATTCCAAAATTGGTCCCCACATTCCAAAATTGGTCCCCATATTCCAAAATTGGTCCCCATATTCCAAAATTGGTCCCCATATTCCAAAATTGGTCCCCACATTCCAAAATTGGTCCCCTCCTACCAAAATGCACCCTCAGACACACAGACTCCAAACCCCCCACACACAGACTCCAAACCGCACACAGGATTTCCTAGCTAGCGTGAGCGTAGACTTCATTGACTATTCACCCCGCTGCTCTTCATCGTGCGATTCTCGTAGCCTGCCAAGTATCGGTACAGCTGGACCGTCCGACGGTTTTTGCTCAGGTTTTAAAAAACTTTGATACATTCCCTTAAACGTTCCCTTAAACATTCCTTAAATCTTTGACGACGCTCCATTTCGCCAACCAACGACGCTACTAGTATCCGGAGCCTTCTTAGCATGACCACATTACCGGAGCCGACCTACTGTCTCCTCGCTAGCGGTAGATGGTCTCCGGTGTAGTCTCGTGTCAACGGAGCGTCGAACGACGCTTTTCGCCATGGTGTTGATGTCCCTTTCGCTGGAATATAAAATGGTGAAAAAGAAGAAAAGTGCCTTTAACCAGCTCTTTCCAGCCAATACTCCTTAACTCTTTCTTCTAGACCCCATATGTAATAATACCAGATGATGTTGGAATAGGTATACAAAGAGTATTGAGATTGATATATAGCATTATAGTCAGTTTTTCAGGTGCACCAAGCATTTACATTTCGGCGTGCGTCAAAACTATTTTATTCTGGTATGGTACGTACCTGGTACCAGCACCGGCATCTACGAACAGTCCCACAGTTTCAGTCCCGGAGCACTAATGAGCGCTCATTAGTGCTCCATGAAGCACTAATGAGCGCTCGGAGCACTAGTGAGCGGTCATTAGTGCTCCGAGCGGTCATTAGTGCTCCGGGACTAAACATCAGTCGTGGAAATTATTTTCTAAATTTTTAAACAAACTAGCCATTACGAAGCATAGTTTAAATATTTTAAAATAAATGCAATGTTAATACCGGGGCACGGTAGGTACATGTACAGTCGTAGCTTCTGTTTTGAAACTGCTACAGTGTAGACTAGTAGTACTGTGTTTTAAACAAATACTCATTTCGGTTACCTGAACGAGAAGTTGAACGTAAAAACGTCTTCGCCATACAGTATGGTTACTATGGTACCGTCATGGCTTAGCCCCATCAACCAACATGCCCTGGACCGTCCAACGCTTTTCACTCAGGATTTAAAAATCTTCAAATTGCCACGACTGACAACATCTTTTAAACAACCCCTTAAACATCCCTTAAACAACTCCATAAAGCTTCAACATCCCCTTAAACAACCCCTTAAATAAACAACCCCTTAACAACATCCCCTTATATCCTCGAAACAACCCTTTAAGTCTTCATTGAAACGCCATACAACAACCCCTTATCACGAATGAACATCCCCTTAAATAAACAACCCCTTAACAACAACCCCTTAAATATTCAACATCCCCTTAAACAACCCTTTAAAGCTTCAACATCCCCTTAAACAACCCCTTATGAGAACCAGGATCTTGAGTCAGTCGTGCCCGTTTTTAAAGCCTGAGTGAAAACCGTCGGACGGTCCTGTAGAGAAGATAGACAGATACTGGTATTTGTCCAGAGTTCAGTGCAGTGAGAAATCTTTTCAAATCCATGCCAAGCAACCCAGGACAACGGGCGTGCTCTCGATCTGATTTAGTAGCAAGCTACCGGTAGCTAGACCAGCTACAGGTAGTATTAATAGCAGCACGTATAGAAAAGCAAGAGATAAAAGAACCTGACTTTCTCTATCTGAACCTTCACCCTCCTTCTTTCAAACCAGCTTGAAGCAGGAGGGCTATACTAGCCATTATCCACAACGACGCACATGAGGACGATCCAGGCGAGCGGAAGGCGAAAATGCAGACGAGGACTTTCCTTTGAGGAAATGCCATGGCGATTCTTTGGAGCCACTGCCTTCTCTGCAAGCTTGAGTCTATGAATAGCCCCAAGCAAGTACGGTACCCAACCAAGCCAAAGGCTCCCGTGCAGGCAGGGACTTGGATGTGAAAAGAATCTGAGGATTGACGCAATGAACCCGCTGTTCAAGGCGCAAAGTCAAAGAACGCCGGGAGTGCCCAGCATTCGTTCGCCGGTCTTCTGCCATAATTAAATTTTGCGCTTCGAAGGCTGTAGTCATTTGAAGGAATAAGAAGTGCTTGAAACTACCGCTGGGCTGAGGTGTGGAGCCATGGTCAGTGTGACCCGCTACTGTACTTACTCAGCAGATCTGAGTAGTTCAGAGTCACTCCAGACTAGCTAGTCTACTGAGTACCGTAGTACTGGAGCTGATCAGATACTGGTTTTGTTTTGGGGCCGGGTCGTCAAAGAATGCCCGAAAGTTCCTTACATTCGCTTGCTGGTCTTCTCTCTCTAAATGTTTCCAAGGCAAAGTCATTGTTGAAGGAAGAGAATGTCTTTTAACCTACGGTGAGCAGTTGGTGAGCTTGGTGTTCCCATCTTTGCGTTATTTCACTGAACTAGCTACAAATTCTTTTGATCAATGAGGTTTCTTCAAACTGCAAAGTCATCACTCTGAAGAGGCTCGATGAAGAGCACAGAAGCATTCCCTCAGGGCAATGGAGCAAGAAACAAACGTAAAGCTTGGTAGACTCCTCACAAGTTCTTCCTGGTGTAATAAATGAGAGGGTAAGACCAAAATTGAACCATTTAAGAAGCTCGAGAGGCAAAGCAGGCATCTATGCATAACTAGCTAGGTATCCATGTATCCTGTTTTGCTTTTGCTTGGCTCACAATTTTGGATTGAGTGATCTATTCTTTCTGCCATCGTCCCACTTACTCACTACAGTATCCAGTTTCTACTTTCGTTTCTGTCGTCAACATACCAACATCACCAGCATATAGCCATGGATAGCTCCGCCTCTTCCTCTTCCACCTGCACACCCGCACTTCCTGACAATGCGATTGACAGCTGCAAATGTAAGAAGACTATGAAGACCTTAAGTCGTTCTGTGAGTTTGGATCCTTCCATGCTGGCAGGTGGTTCATCTTCTTCAAAGCAGTTCCGCAACCTCGTCGTGGGTTCCTCTTCTTTGGCTTTCAGCACCGTCCGAAGTCGCACAAGAAGTGACAAGAAGAAGGTACGCTTTGCATGCCGTCCAAAGACCCGTATCTATTACAAGCATGACAATGTAGACGGCTGTCTTTGGTTCAACAAAGATGACTTTCGCCAGAACAAAAAGACACTAGAAGAAGAAGGCCTGCAGTGGCAAGCCAAAGGCTACGATATCCTGCTCAAAGATTCTTATTCCAATCCAAGCAGGGAACAGTTGGATACATTTGTCCAGTTGCCTGGTCAAGACTACATGCGCGGAGCAGAGCCTTGGCTATGCGATTCACTCTACCATCAACGGACGTTTGCCAGACATCGTTCCGTTGAAGCCATTATCGACAAGGAAATCCAGCTTCGACAAATGGGGACCAAGACACCCGAAGAAATTGCACAGGACCTTGCAAATCTCTACGCCAAACTCACCAAGCCATCACGAGACTTTGCCAAGCGCATGGGAATGGCAGATGAACTTGGTGACAAGCTAGGAGAAAACCCCGAACTTCCATTGTACATTCTACCCAAAAAGGCCAACCCAAACGATCCCAGCGCCCCAAAGGCTCGGCCTTCTCTGGCGGCCACCAAGAAGGCAAGATCGTCGCCGATGGGCTCCTCTTCATTAGCCCGCTTGGTTTCGAGCATGGCCACTGCCATGGGTGCCTAGCCATGCATGCACCGGACATTTCACTGATGCACCCACACACACACTATACCTTTCCACACTCCTTTCACCCAACCAAGAAGATACAACACTACATACAGTACTTTTCTTGCAGCCAGAGTCCCACATCCCACATCCCGGCTATCATAGATCTGATGTGCAACGAAACAAAACAATATAAATCCGTTCATACTATAATACAATACATGTCTAGCTATTGATGCATTCACAATGGTTTCGCTCAGCATCCCGTAGATTGCTACCGGTAGCTACACTGGCGCAGGCGAGCGACATCCCTCTATCGAAGGCAAAGAAGAGTGGATACAGAGACGACTGACTCAAGGGGGCTAGAGATACAGAGATTGGATCATTCAATCTGGCCAGCCATGCCAAGTAGCACGGGGAAAGAGGAGGACCCTCAGCGCAACAGAAGGTTTCATTTCATCAGGCCAGTGCGCAATCTGACCATCTGCGTTCCATTCGGATTGAATCATTCGATTCGATTGCTTTCCAACTCGGCCTGTATGGGGTTCAAGCTAGATAGCTACCAGTAGCTAGATGGGGTAGCTACTGCAGCTATGTAGGCATATCTATGCTTGGATGTTTGTACATTACCCGTACGGTACATTCAAGCTACCGGTACCACACGGGTGTGCATACCGGTACCTTCAAGCAAGTTTTAAAATTAGCAGAAAAGACTGCTTTGATCGTGAAATTGAAGGAACAGGTTTTAAGCATTTCTGTCGGCTTTTAAAAAGATAGAAAGAACACGAACACCTCCGAAGATTTTGTTTGCTCTCTCGATTCTGTGATCTGTGGCTTGTGGCTTGATGATTTGCGCGAATGGGTGGTTTTGGCTGTTTTGACTGTTTTCACGATCAGGGCATTTCCAAAAGGAAACAGCCACATTTGTCGGAATTGGCGGAAAAAGATTAAATGTCACTGTTTATGCACGTCTCGAATCATTGTTTTACATCGCAATCCAGCAAAATCAAAACAGCGATCTCTCTCGCTTCTCACAAATCTTGTTGGCGGCGGTGAGCGGTGAGTGGATCCTTGCCTGTTGGCGTGTCATTGTCTCTGTCTCTGTCTTTGTCTTGTAGTATTTCCCTCACGCTTCTATCGATCTCTCTGTGTGTCTGTGTGTAGGTGTGTGATCATTTGTCTGCTGCCCATCGGTGGATCAATAAAGTCATTGAGGTGAATTTATTTATTTCTCAAGCATCACGAGTCACGAGTACAGTAGCATGGACGCCGAATCCCTTGCTGAGGGCACCCAGGAGTCTCAGGCCACTCGACGTCTATGTTGTCTTGAACAAGTGATTCGGAGAATCAGCATTGAATTGGCCAGATCCGAAGAAGTTGCGGACTGGGAAATGGATCAAAAGTACGAAATGGATCAAGATGACCTCGCCTTCATCATGGCTACTCTTCGAAAGTATCCAGCCATGGCGTCCCGCAAGTTTCATTACCAAAATCACTCCGTAGACCTCAAATGTTCCCCTACGTTTTGCCACCCTTTTGCCCTTCTGTTGATGGCCAAGGCTCCCCTTTCGTATATCCGAGAGGTCTACCTCATGTTCCCTATGGCCATTCAAGAGCCATTCGAAAGCACCAGGCAGCCGGATGCATCATTTCCACTCACTGTTGCTCTCATGAACCGGCAACAGGAATTACCCCTCATACAGTTCCTTGTCGATGCTTTTCCCGGAGCTCTCTTTCAAGCACCAGTGCAGCCTGTCCCAGAGGAGGGAACCTTTGAGATTCCCAATGACCACCTCAAGGAACCTGAGGCTATCAAGTACATCCTCCACAAGTACCCTCAGGCTGCATTTGTGGCAAACATTGGGGACGGGTTTTCTGAAGGAGACTTGCTATGGAAGCATGATGACGACTACATTGTAGATCTCGTTGTGGATGCTATGGCTAGGGCAAATCCATCCAAAAAATATGTATACTGCCCAGAGGGAAGTATGACGTATGACTCTGAGAAGCTCTGGAAACTTGCAAAAATGGTTCCACATCTCAAAGACCTCACCATTTTTGTAGACCAACCAAGTCATTTGCATATCATTAGAGACATCATGTGGGACAACTACCAGACTACCAGACTTCGAATTCAAACCAGCGTTCGTGATCCATGCACACAAGACTGTTGGGTTTCATTGCAAGGTCTTCTTCGCCATGACAAGACACTGGAGATACTCGAGATCGTTTCATCTAGTAGAAGGCGGCCAGGCATCGATTTCTGCATCGAGCCAATCACATCAGGACTCATGAAGAACGGCACGGTGAAATCAGTGCGCCTGCACGGAATGGTGATTCCACACACATCAGATGCTATGCACGCCGAGCGGCTCTTATTTGCCCCAAACTTGTCAAAGGTGGAGCTCTCGAAGTGTGCGTGGCCGCAGGAGCCACCCTCTCATCTGTGCCAAACGTTCCAAACAAAAATGAAATCACCTCTGACACATTTGTGGATCATTGACGTCAACATCTCCGAAATGTACCTCTCCCGGCTTCTGGCGTATGCGTCGCTAGCAATGCCTCATCTGAAGTCATTGAGACTTCAGCTAAACTCCGCCCTGGATTTCGATGTTATGGAGCCATTGCTGTCCATCTTGGCGGGGCCTTCACTAAAGCTGTTGGAAACAGGAAACCTGACAGTCAAGGTCAACATACTTTTGGAGGCTTTGGAGACGAATACTACGCTCACTCATCTCCAATGCAGTGCCATCACAGGGAATCATGGCCAGAGTATTGTGGACTTGCTGGAAAAGTTCAACTTCACTCTGCAGCACATCGGAGCTCCGGAAGGCTCAGCGGGCATTCCGTTCCAACTACAGCATGCAGCCAAAATTGACTACTACACGGGAATCAATGCTCATGGCCGCGCCAAAGTCACAGAATCTATCAGCTTACAAGACCTGGTGACTCTCTTGACCCCGACCTTCTCCGCAGCGGCAGGGGAAACTGAAGTAAGCATCCAGGAGAAGTTGGACAAATGGGCCGCCCCTGGTCGAGTCCAAGTGCCAAACTACGAAGATCTCCTCCTCCAGAGCAATTGGCACACCTACGAATTGAACCTCTTCAATCTGCAGAATTATATCCTTCGTCACTCTGTTTCGGTTTGGAGTAAGCCTACACCAAAGCCTCGCAGACTTGAACAGCCAACAAATCTGCAGCGGCTCCAGTTCCGCTCTGGCCCCAACCCAGCACCAACGGCCCAAGTGCCGGGCCCATATCCTCCTGGAAGTCAAGCTTCTTGGTGGCAGGGTCACATGCTTCCTGGAATGGCCGGAGCTCGTGTGTACAGCCAACATGGATACCCGCCACCGGTGCTGGCGCCAGTCTATGGCCCGCATCCTCCTGGAAGTCAAGCTTCTTGGTGGCATGGACAAGTGCCACCTGGAATGGCAGGAGCTTGTGTGTACAACCAACATGGCTACCCGGCACCGGTGCTGGCTCAAATCAATGGCTCCCATCCTCCTGAAAGTCAAGCTTCATTGTTCCAGAGCATGCCAGGAGCAACTGTGGACAACCAACAAGGCTACCAGGTTCAGGTGGCGCAACACGATTCCTGTTCATTGAATGATGGTTCCACCAGTCCTTCGACGTCCGGCAATTCGAATGTCTGTGCTTGGCTTTGTTGCTGGTGGAGAACAGGCTCGGAATCTGCAAGTTCCGGCTGCGAGCACTAGGTCCGATAGTGACTATGGTGATGTCCGTCCGTGGCTCTCTGTGGGTTTGTGAGCGGACTGGTTTTATCAAAGTGGTTCCAAGAAATACTTTTGAGGACCAAATAAGGAGCGCCAAACGGCGTCAATATGGGATATACAAAATACTAGAAATTTCGGCAAGAGCAAATGCATTTTCCTCGCGCGTTCAATAGAATAACCTCTCCTCCACAACCGTGTCCCAAAACGTTGGGTTTTTAGAGTAGGAAGGGTATCTACGAAAGTGGATCAGCTTGCTTCTGACTCAGACCACGATCAGTTTTAGGAGGAAGCAGACCTGGTCTTCCTCGTCAATGACTGAGGTCTCTTCCCACTTCCTCGGCCGCACTCCCTCCTCCGTAACTGGATGCTGTTCTCATCTACTTCAGTTCTAGATAGGAAACCGTGGTAAGCTAGCTGTAGGGTGTGGGTTTCGTGTGGAGGAACCAGTCACTAGGACCAGAATGAATGATGGTGACTGCACCCCCGCTTGGCTGAGTGATGGTACCGTACTGGAAACGAAGCCTTTTCCTCAAGATTTCGTCTAGCTACGGTTTGGCGCTGCTTCTCTTCCTGCGACAACAGCCAGCGCCTTAAATGCCGTGCGAGACCATTCCGGTTCCTCTTGCTTGTAGCATCGGCCCAGCGGTCTTGCACTGGCAGCAGTCAAGCCAACGGGCTTTTTGCCCACTACGTCATGAGCAGCCAATGTTTCACCGTTCTCTGTTCTCCGGTCACGTCGCGCTGAGTGTCTTTTCATTCAGCAAGGTACCAGTCGCTGATAGCAAACCAGCTTTCTAGAGGTTCAAAAGCTTTGAACTCAAGTGTCTGTTGCGTACTATAGTTTCTTCAAAATCACCGATCACCGCCTCGATTCTCGAGCTATTGGCACGTGCACGACCTCTCTCCAGTTGTGGCTGGATTGTTGAAGTCAGCGGTATGCATAGTCTCGCTGGCCGTACAAAACCGAACCCTAGCTAGATCCAGTCCAGAGGTAGCTTGGACAACAGTACTCTTTCGTTGTTGCAAGAAGAAAACTTGGCTGGATGTGGGGTCAGAAGGATCAACGCTTTTCTGGCTCTCCACTTCTAATACGCACCGGTAGGCACCGTGATGTGGCATCCAGGATGCTTTGCTTGATTGCCTACGGGCAAAGATTCCACCTAGCTAGTTGAATTGAATCGCATCAACCAATACTAGCCGCCCCTTCGTCCGTCATCCTTTGCTCGGTGTATTCATTGCTCGACGATGTATTTTTTTTGCTCGACCATCGTCAATGATGCCACCAGTGCAGTTGATGCTTGTCTGGATCACCGAATCGAATCGAATCGAATCGAATGATTGAAACATGCATTGATCGAATGGATCTTGAATCGGATCGAATCGAATCGAAATGATGCATTTTCAATCCAATGATGAATCGAATCGAATCGATCCGAAATGTCACTGGTTCTCCCCCTCCGCCACCCACGTGGTTGCTCCAGGTCATTGCAAGATTTCAAGAGCAACGGGGAGCCGGCACCAGCTTCCATGCCGCAGTCCACTGTTGCACTTCAGAAGAGAATGCCACCTTTGGATGATCATTCTTTGGATGACCCGTTGGATTTCTGCCTTCTGCTGCAGCTGCGTCGAGTAGTCTACATACATGTAATCAATCTCATCCAGAGGCACTTCTGTGTGCTTCCTCAAGCTGTCTGCTTCCACATGCTACCTGGTAGCCAATCACAGCGGCGACCCACAACAAAGACATCAATACTCATCAACCCAGCTACAGTTGTACTCCTTTAGTACATGACTTTGTATGTATTGACCCATACATGTACTCGTTACATAGTGAAGCAGGAAGGAGAAGCCCTGCACTTTCTTGCCTCCAGCTCCAGGACTTGGTGGACACGCATACATGGAGCAGCACACGGAGCAGCTCACGGAGCAGCTTACTTGGAGAAGACAGCATAGTCGCATACCGGTACTGCGTAGAATACTTTGCCACAGCTCAGGATGTCCCGAGACTCTGGTTCTCCACCTTGGCCACGTGATTCACCAACCAGGAGGGGCTCTGCTGACGCCATGATGATTCGAAACTTTCTGGTGAAACAACCTTTTGGCAAGACTCGCACGACTAGCATTGCATTTCTCCTTTGAAACTCCCATGACTCGTATGGGAGTCAAACTTTGCGAGTCTGTGCGAGTCCATGCAAGTCCTTGCGAGTCTCTGGCTTTTTTCAAGGTTAAAGTCGCGATTCTGTGCGAGTTTGTGAGAGTCTACGCGAGTTAAACGCTAATGACGTGAGTCGCACGAGTCATGAGTCCTGTTTGCCAGTCTTTAGCTTTGGTGCTTTCCACAATGTCATCAAAGCAAACAGTTGTTCCTCGCCAAAAGTGACGTCAGAGGAGCCCCTTATCAGGAACAAAGCTGTTCTTGCTGGAAGATGTCGAGATTTTGTTGCACGACTGAATCGTCACTTGACTAAGGGACGATTTTCCTAGTACAGGACGATTTTTAAGGGACGATACACGATTTAAGCGAAGCTTTTGGGGAGGATTTGGTTAAGGACGGTTTACGCAACGATTTACTTAGCGGACGATGGTAGGGACGATTCACGATGCCACGATGGTAGGGATGATGGTAGGGACGATTTAAAGGACGATTCAGGGGACGATTTCAGATATAAAGGACGCTTTAATGGACGATTCAGCCACGAGTAACATTAAAATTTATTGGCATCTTCCTGCCACATGTGGCCTGGGCAGTTCTAGCTTTTGGCTCACGAACACACCAATCTTCAATGGCAAAAACACAAAAACACTACTCAGTATTTGAAGTCTTCCGGGAGTCCTCTAGGCCTAATAGGAGGCTTAAGTGAACGACCTTCCGCGGCTGCAGACGGGAGTGCTGCAAACTGCTATGTTAGCTAGCTAGTAGCTAGTAGGGAAGGGTCATCCACAGATTCCCATGTAAGTTGCACTTTTTCAAGCTGCTGCAGATGCCAACTCAGCCCATTGGAACAGTGAAGGAGAAGCCCTGGTGCTTGCGGGAAGAAGCTTTGCGGGATAAAAAGTGAATAATATCGCTTATGGAGATGGCAAAACACTTTCTGACCATGGGAGCTCTCTGGACCTCCGAGACGTAATAATAATATGTCCAGAAGCTAAAGTGCAAGAGAGTGTGCCACAAAGACAGGCATGTGGCGGGGGCAGTTATAGCTGCTTCATCCATCTGTTGTTGCCACATACATGCCCAGGAAACCATCACTGACAGTTGCCTGCATCTCAAACAGACGGTGCTCACACAGACACTTACTTATTGGCACCATGAAAGAGAATCCCTTCAGAGAAGAGTGAGGAGTGTCCTGCAACCTCGGGAGTCGAGTCCTCGAATGTCTTGGGCAGAAGTTTCAGTGACTTTCACAGCTCTGCAGAAAGTTGAATGAAGAAAATTAGCTTGATAGTTTTAATTATGGTTACGAACGACCAATGTAGCTTAGACAAAAGGGGAAAAGAAGCTGGGTGCTTCTGACCATCTGTTTGTGGTCTTGCTTGCTGTGCGGGTCACCCCATGGGACGTTACAGTACCAGAGATGCACCAAACACAGTTTGGCCCACAGTCATCCCGCGCTCTCAGCCAATCATTCTTCCAAACCACGCTAGATTTCCACGTCGGAACACGTGGAAAAGAGACAACACGCTAACTCGGCACCTACAACGTAGTACACAGCCTACGGCCCAACGCCAGCCAATGCACCAAACACAGTTTGGCATCAAGTATACCAAAAGATATGTTCTTCACCTGATGGATCCTTTGCCGAAGGCGCTGTGTTGCTTTGGTACAAAGGGTACCTGGTACAGAGGTTACGGCGAGCCATAGGCTTCTGCATCTCTGGCTGATCTTGGATGCACCAGTTCTGCAATTCGATCGGCTCATAAATTTGGTTCAGCCCAGCCAAAAAGGTAAAAACGAGTCGCGTCAGGAACCAGTAGCAGATTTGCGCAAGTGATTTGGGATCCATGACAATGATTGATTTTTGTTCGTCCTCTGACTTCCTGTTGCGTCTCTCGTCACACTGCAGTCGTACTGGTCGAGTGTCATTGGTTGGTCGGTTTGTCAGAGTTGAGTGAGTCAAGTCCAGTCGAGTGTGTGTTGTGTGTTGGGAGCAACAGCTTTGGGTGTGATTGCCATTTTAAAATCGGAACGCCTCTGACCTTTTCTTCTCTCTGTCTATCAGGTGCCCAGCGGTCGGTCAGTCGAGTAAGGCTTTTCCCTCTGTAGCGGTGGATCGGAACGTTGCCTTTTGATCGATATGATTTTTTGTTCTTCTGACGTTTGCGTCTCTCTCTTCTCTGCTCTACCGTACCCTCAAGGAATCGAAGCGTGAGTTCTCAGGCAACGCTGCATTGTGCGAGTTGTGTCTCTCTTGACTCTGTGGACAATCGGAACGCCTCTGACTTTTTGTTCTCTCTGCC